AAGATGACAATATGTCAAAATTGACACTGTTACTCAAAAAACTGATACTTTTAATATGTCATTTTTGTTTCGAAAATGTCATGAGAATGACATTATTACTCTTTCAAAAATGTCATGAGATGTCATTCTCTCTTTTGAACTGACATCTTCATAAATATAATGTCATAAAAGTGACATTATTACAAAAGATGTTTTCTACCTTCCAATGAGTCTGCAGACCTCCATGAGGAATGTCACATGATATGCGAGAATGCCACAATAATGACAATTTCGTATAGAAATATGGCATTTTCAAATTTTCTAATATTATAATGACAAAGTGACATTTGTAAAAATATCCAATAATTTTGACATTCTCTTATTCAAAAAGTGACATTTTTTGGAATCATTAGTGAAGACATTTTGAGATTCAAATTAATCAAAATTGATAAAAAGAAACTAAAGTTCAGATTTATCTTCTCCTTTTTAAAATCTGATTGAGAAGAAGTTAACGGAGGAGCAGAAGAAAAAGATGATGAAGAAGAAACTTACCTGGGCATGTAGCAGGGGTCCATCGACCAGCGACATTCATCGCACCAGTGAACATTCATCGCAGAGTCATGCGCGTTGCACTAATCAAGGGCTATTTTTGTCCAAATACAAATAATTAGTCCTATTTAGGGGATTTAAAACAATATGTCTTGTTTTTGCAATTTCATCTTCTTTTAGTCCTATTTAAGGAATTCTCTCATAATTTATAGATGTATTATTTATAGATATAACACGAATTAGTTGACGACTTCATGTAATTACATATTACCATATTACGACTTAATATGTAACATATTACGAATTAGTAATTATATTAATATATTACGCCTGAGTGTTTATTAACATATTACACGAATTAGTTGCCAACAATTACGTAACATATTAGTATTATAAAAAATATATATTAAAGTGTATGTACAAGTGTTTTCGCTTAGTTAAATCATAGATATCAAAAGTCAATTTCTTGCTAATCATAATAAATCTAGAAACAAATAATAAAATTTCGATAATTAAGAACTAAATCAAATATTATATATTTAAATGAATAAAAAGTATGGTTTGTTCAGTTCAATTTTAGAGGTGAAAATCAAAACCAAAATCAAACAACTACGGTTTGGTTCGAATTTCTGAGTGTGGTTTCGATTTTAATTTCTTGCCAGGGCGGAGCTAGGGCACTGGGCCGACTGAGCCGGGTAAAAATGATATTTTTGAATTTTTTACACGATATTTTTTACACTAAAAATACAAACATTTTTAAAATTTGGCTGGCCAGAGAGCCAGGGCTGACCCTCCCCTAGCTACGCCCGTGTTTCTTGCAATTCGATTTGTTTTGCTTGCAGTTGAGGTTTCATCGATCCAGTTTTTTTATTTCACCGATCCACCCCTATAATTAACTCGGTGAGTAACATTTTAAGGCACAATAGAGATAATTAGTCAAACTAAATTTTATGAAGTACTTCGTAACTACTAAAGAAGGAAGAAAGAAACAGTATATAGTAAAATGCTTAAGAAACTCCAAACAGGTTGTAAAACATTTTATAAAAGTCAGCAATAGAAAAATAAAGGAGCCCACTGGATTAAACTTGGGGAGTATAATCCATAGGTTGGTATAATACGCCTAAAACCGAAGCGGGTTTGCTGGTTTTGGTTGGTCAGCATTCAGCAATAGAACCAGGCAACCAACAGCTCCTAACTGTGCAATATGATTGTTAATTATACCACTATCAAGGTCATTAACCTTAAACAGCTTGAATAGTCAAACTTTGTTCTTCATCACTGTATCAACCTCTTTAGACATCTTTATCGTGATATAATAAAAGGCTAATTCATTTAAAGGATTCAAATAAAAACTCTTATTCCTCTAATTCTCTAAAAGAGCCGTGCTTGATGTACACATTTTTTGTGTACACTTTTGGCACACTTGCCTGTCTACGCAAACAGAGTTGTCTGTATACAGACAACTCTATAGGGCTCACACAAGTTGTTTGTATACACACAATTCTGTTTGCGTAGACAGACAAGTGTGTCGAAGGTGTACACAAAAAACGTTTACACCAAACATTTCTGTTCTCTAAAAATACGGCTATTCAAGTTAGGAACGTCTTTTAGAGGAAAATCATATTACGACCGTGCTTGGTGCACACCATTTGATGTTCACATTTTGTACACCTCTGTGTATAAACATAGAATGTACAAAAGGTATAAAATATAATGTTGACTTGAAATTCCATCTTCAATAGTCAAACTTGATAGGTCAAAGGTTAATACCAAAAGTTTTGCAGGAGTTAAGGGATGTTTGGTACCTTAATAATGTTTTTACGGAGTATGTTTTACTTGTTGACATTATCTGACTCGACAAGAACCTATCAATGCACCTAATACCAATAAGCAACCCACCCAATTATCATCGTCATTACCATGTTTTTATCCGTGTAATTAAATGAAAACCAGTCTGATCTTTATTACCCCACTACTTTTTCTTTTTCTTTTTTTAGTATAAAAAGGCCTTCCACTCAGATGCTTTCTCCATCACCAAACCAAAACCATTTCATTTTCTCTCGTGTTGTCTTTGTGACTTTGTTACTGTTCTGTGTTTGCTCTCTTCTATTTGTTAGGTAAAAATTAAGATAATAACTCATTGTCTATTCTTTTTGCTTTGAAGTTGCCTTTATATAATCTTTTTAGTACTTTCAGCTTCATTTTCACGCTTTTTGAACCTCTCAGTTTGTGGCTTTAGAAGAATTTTAGCTGTCATTTTTATAGAATAGTTCCAACATGGCACAAAGCATCTATCTATCAGATCTTTGTTCTGCATAGTGCCAGAGTTAGGTGCTGGAATTATCTCAGCCCCCATTTTTTCTATTTATATATGTGTAGAAAAATTCTAATTCAGTCCCTAACCAATTTGTGTCCCTTTTTTTAGTACTCGAGTTTTATTCAACTTCGCTTAGCAGCCTTAGCTTGTGTATAAATTTATAATGTCTTCTGGTCAATAAATTTATCCATATTAAAGACATTTTATCTCCAATGTACAATCTCCATAAAAAATGTCATACCAATGACAACTTTTCAGGAGGATTGTTTTTTTCAAGAAATTATAGGATTAATTTCTTAAGCACAATAATACATGACTAGAAAATGACGCACCCAAGCTCCCCCCTCTATACATATTTACTAATTAACGTATACTATCTATATAATATACTTCGTACATGTTTTCACTTTTTATTTTAAGAGTGATATCTCGTCACTAAAACTTTTTTCCTATATTAAGCTATTTCACACCAGTCGAATATAAACATAGAAATAACATACAAAGTCTTGAATCACTCTTATTATGTGTTGACTTTTTAGACTTGAATCTTAAATCTTAATACTACTTCGTATTTCATATGATCAATTAAGCTTCAATGAGCAATCCGAACCTAGTAAACTTCAACAATAGATACACAAACTACAAAACTGATCTGCTCCAACGAGTCACCACCTTGCGGGAGCATGTTAAACTATCTCATAAGTCACACCCATTGCATATAAAATATAAAAGTACAAATAAACATATACGTAGTACACTCTTGCACTAATCCTCTTATAAAGTTGATTTTTTTGGATGAAATCAAGACACTATATATGTGTATACTAGCTAGGTATATGTATATATACGTAGTATAATTTGAACATAAAAACATACATACCGAGTATAATTTTCTTAAACTTTTGTCCACCTTATCTATACTCCGTTGTTAAATACGGGAGCCAATAAGCCAAGTGGGGTTGAAAGGTCATGATGTGGACGCAATAGTCAAAATTTGGTTCATATCCACGTTAGATCGGTTGGCCGAGATTGACTAGGACTTCATTTAATTGTGACTTTAATTATATATCTTCTTCTAGATTAGGCACTTTCTTTAATTTATCCGTACCTGCAACTATTATAAGTTGCGGTATTGTTTTAATGTGCAGTCTTTATTTGTTATTATCATCATAACAATAAGCGCTTAAACTTCTATTTTTGCTTCCAGTTGGGACAACTTTCTGTACGTTGTAATGGCGGAACGTGTCCACAGCCTACGGGAGCGCCTTGATGCCACTTTGGCCGCTCACCGCAACGAGATTTTACTCTTCATGTCGAGGTACGTACGACTACTCTCTTATAAGGTTGACCTTTTACGATGAAATACGAGTCTTATCATCTTCATACAAGCCGACAAGCCGCTTTCTTGGATGTTGTTAAGCTTTCGGGTGAAATCTTGGATGGATGATGCTATGGATCATAGGATCACGCAAAAGTATTGTGTTTTTATTTTGATTTCGGGTTTGTAGGATTGAAGGCCATGGGAAGGGAATCCTGAAGCGCCATGAGCTCCTAGCAGAGTTTGAATCCATCTGCAAAACTGATCAGGACAAACTCAATGATCATGCCTTCCAGGAAGTCCTCAAATGCACACAGGTAGATTGCTTTAAACCAGCTATAAGCCCCTATAGCTAACTACTTTCTGGTTACAAAAGTTTTACTAAGAGCCCGTTTGGAGACCTCTGTTTTCGGCTTATCAGGCTTATCAGCCAGTTTTTTCACCAAACACGTAACTTTTACTTTCGCGCGCTGAATTGTGTAATAAGCCGAAAAAGTAAGGTTGGAGTTACTTTTCTGGCTGTATTGGCTGAAGTAAGTTACTGTAGATGACCATTTTAGCTATTTTTACATATAATTTTTTCTTTATTTTATTAATAAAATATATTTTTAAAATATTTTTTTCTTAAATCATCAGAATCAGCCAAAACAGCCACTTCAGCCAAAATATCATAAATTTCAGCAGAATCAGCCAAAACAGTCAATTTTGGTGCTACCAAACGGGCTCTAAATTTGAAATTGGACACTTATAGAATATACAGACCCTACATTTATTAGGAATCAATATATATCCCAATATATATCCATCTTCTCCAATATTAGCTCAATCTCTCTCCCAAAAAATTTGAGACCCGCTCATATCAATATAGATATTGGATAGTTGGACTCAAAAGAAAGATAAGAAAGATAAAAAGATGAAATGTGAGGATAAAGAAATAAAAATAAACATAAATACCCTAATAAGAAAAGCACACATTTTTTCTGATCAGAGATGAAATAATTTTTTACTACTAATCTGGTGGAACAGGAAGCTATAGTTTCTTCACCATGGGTTGCTCTAGCTATCCGTATGAGGCCCGGTGTTTGGGAATATGTACGCGTTAACGTCAATGCTTTAGCGGTTGAGGAACTGACTGTTCCTGAGTATCTGCAATTCAAGGAAGAGCTTGTAGATGGATCGTGAGTTTTCTCCATCTTCTTCTTCCCCCTGTTTTATGATCCCTTCTCTTCTAGTTCATCGATTTAGAAAATAATAACGATGTTCTGCTTATCTGATCCAGTGGCAATGGTAACTTTGTTCTCGAGCTTGATTTCGAGCCATTTACTGCATCCTTCCCCAAACCCACACTCACAAAGTCAATTGGCAATGGAGTTGAGTTCCTCAACCGCCACCTCTCGGCCAAAATGTTTCACGACAAGGAGAGTATGGCTCCGCTCCTTGACTTCCTTCGAGTTCACCATTACAAGGGAAAGGTAATAATAATACTGTAATAAGTAATTCCCAACCCCAATTTCTCTCGTTCATCTTTGAATTTTTGAATTTCATTTGGGAAGGGATTCAATCTCAACTTTAAAACCTGGTCAATAAGGTCATCTAGTTCATCTCTTATAGCCTTATACAAAGCATGATATGTGGTCACATTTTTAGTATAGATATTATTTTATAGAAGCTTTTATCTAGTCTCAACATAAATGAAACATGTATGCTGAAGCTTTAAGACTGACATACCTCTGGCAGTCTGGCCATTATAATTAATAGTGTTTGGTTCTTTTTGTGGACCTTAACTCTTATCATACGAATATAAGAGCCCAGCCTGAGAATTTATATGAGGTTTTTAAATTTATAGTTGGCATGTCTGACAATATGGTGGCTCGTTGGAGCATAATCATCTTAAAATCTGTGTGTTCATTGTTGGGGCTTATTAGGACCTCATTGTTCATTTGAGCTCAATATCCTTTGTTTGTTACCCTACTAAGATATGAGACCACTTTGAAAAGATCAACATGGAAATGTTGCCCAAGACTTTATTTGTGATAGTTTAATAGAGTATGTACATCAACCTAGTGACTTCTAATTGAAGGAGTCTCTAGTTAGTATATAGGCTACTATTATACACTAGAGAATGAATATAGGCTTTCAATGCATACTCAGTTAATTTGTTGTTGTGAGTCCACATTGTCACCATAACTTGGCTTTGGGCCAGGTCCACATTGATTCATTTCTCTACATTGTTATGATAACGCTTGCTTTGGGCCAACCCTGAACACATGTTTTTTGGGCCAAGACACTTACATTCAATGTGATTCTGCTTTATTTTATTCATAATGCGGGACTTGAGTTGAACCCCATCATTCCATCTTTAAACCTTGCCTTTTATACTACTACGTACTTGTTAGGATTGGGAACATCACCTTAAGTACAGATTAGTATGATAATGTCTGTTTTTAAGCAAACCTGCAAAATTGTTATTGGACGATATATTCAACAACTTGGCTTAGACTCCAATTTCCTTACAATTCTAATAGAAGTCTCTACTCTCTAGCCATTATAGAGACACCAAAAATTATAGAATGGCTGGCATATGAAAATATTATGAAGTGCTGAATGCTGGATGCATTGGACAAACGAACACAATACTTTTGCCACCTATTCAATGGAATTGTTCACAATCCTAACAGAATGTTTGTTTGTAGACTATGATGCTAAATGACAGGATTCAAAACTTGAACACTCTTCAAAGTGTACTATGGAAAGCTGAGGAGTACCTAACCACCCTCCCACCCGAAACGCCTTACTCCGAATTTGAACATAAGTTCCAAGAAATTGGGTTGGAAAGGGGTTGGGGTGACACATCAGAGCGGGTGTTGGAGATGATCTGCATGCTATTGGACCTCCTTGAGGCCCCTGATTCTTGCACCCTTGAGAGATTCTTGGGGAGAATCCCTATGGTTTTCAATGTTGTAATCCTTTCCCCACACGGCTATTTCGCCCAAGAAAATGTCTTGGGCTACCCAGACACTGGTGGCCAGGTCAAAGAATAAGCATCACACTCTTCTTAGATTATTTAATTACATCAATTTTTTCATTTCTCATTGTGTTATACTTTCAATTCCATCTCAGGTAGTGTACATTTTGGATCAAGTTCCCGCATTGGAGCGGGAGATGCTGAAACGCATTAAGGAGCAAGGACTTGATATCAAACCACGGATCCTCATTGTTAGTCCATCTTTCTTTTCTGTAATACTTGTTGAGAACAGATTATGATCTTTGATTGGGCGTAAATTAAAAACTTTCCCTTTGACCATAAGTTATTGTGAGTAATGAAATTTAAATACTTGGAAGAAATTCTAAAATTGAAGTTTTGGTGTATGAGCGAGAGGCTATAAATTCAAGTCTTGGGAACAGCCTCTTGTCAAAAATTGACAAGGGAAAGCTTTCCCCCTGTACACCCTTGTGGTGAGATGCTTTCCTGGACCCCCACAAGGTGGGGGATGCTGATGTGCACCGCTCTACTTCTTTTTTGGAAAAATTGTAAAATTATAACTGAACCAAACCAATCGATTTTTATTTAATAAACATTTGGTACATGATACTAGAAGTTAAAAGAGAATCGGATTGATGGTAGGATAGTATCTTGTATACGTTACATGGACTGAGTGAGTAATAATTATAGATTCATTTTGAGCACATGACTCTAGTGTTAAATCATCACATCTTGATCAAATATACAGATACAAACTCACATATAACAAATTGGATCGGCTTTTAGGCTACCTTTTAGTGTTGTTATAAGACATTTGTTTCATACCAGATCACTAGGCTACTACCGGACGCGGTTGGGACAACTTGTGGTCAACGGCTTGAGAAAGTGTATGGGGCAGAATACTCTCATATTCTGAGAATTCCTTTTAGAACTGAGAAAGGAGTTCTTCGCAAATGGATATCTCGATTCGAAGTCTGGCCATACATGGAGACTTTCACTGAGGTAAAAACAAATGAATTCTTTTTCCTTCTTTCTTTCTTTTTTGGGGTTTACTAATATATATGTTATTAGGATGTTGCAAAGGAGATTACTGCTGAGCTACAGGCAAAGCCAGATTTAATAATTGGAAATTATAGTGAGGGTAACCTGGTTGCTTCCTTACTGGCTCACAAGTTGGGTGTTACACAGGTTTGTGTCTCTTCTTATGTATGAACCAGCGTCTAGGCGGGCTTAGATAGAATGTCTATGTGGGAAAGTTTAGAATGAAAAGTTCTAGAAAACCTGCTCTTCTTGGTTACAGCGTAGTGTACTGGTTGAGGTCTAATGTTGTGTGAATGATAAATTGAATACACAATTTTTTATATAAGATAAAATTCAATACAATAGAAAGTGAATCACAATGTGATTAGTAAAGAAATTTTAATTATGATAAGGGAAGAGATATTACTAACTAAATATATAATATTTCTATGTTAGGATGGTGCATACAGTGTACTGTGAGGTAACCAATAAGCTCTTATACCTCTAGCATTACTCTTTTAGAAGTTAGAACAGTTATGTCATTTTATGAGGTGTAAATGAAGGACATGTGTATTTATGTTTTAATGAAATATATTTTGTTGTAGTGCACCATTGCCCATGCACTAGAGAAGACGAAATATCCTGATTCTGACATATACTTGAAAAACTTTGATGAGAAATATCACTTCTCATGCCAATTCACTGCTGATCTCATTGCTATGAACCATACTGATTTCATCATCACCAGCACCTTCCAGGAGATTGCTGGAAGGTATTATTGAATTGATGGCTGTCCAATATCTTAATTACAACTGTGTCCAAATAAAGTTCTTTAACAGTTCTTTTTTCTTTTTCTTCCAGCAAGGATACAGTTGGACAGTATGAGAGCCACCAGGCATTCACAATGCCTGGACTCTACAGAGTTGTCCATGGAATTGACGTTTTTGACCCCAAATTCAACATCGTCTCTCCTGGAGCTGACTTGAACTTGTATTTCCCCTACTCTGAAAAGGAGAAGAGGCTAACTGCCCTTCATCCCGAGATTGAAGAGTTGTTGTTCAGTGATGTTGAGAATGAGGAACACCTGTAAGTATAGTATACATATATCCCTTCTTGTTATGAACACCATAAATGTAAAGATATAATGATGCATCATGGATTAATAAGATCTTAGGTTGAACTAGCTTATAGACTGGACTGGAGTAATACCTTAATTACCTAAAAACACATTTTGAGTCAAATTGCAAGTTGGCAACCGGTTAGATTTAAAATAGACTGGCTGCTCACCTGAGGGTGCCAGGGTGGATGTTAGAGTCCCACACAGGACAAGTAATAATAAAATGATGGGATAATACAATGAGATGAAATACTTTGAGATCAATCTTTGAGTGAGATTTGGTCTAAGTGCCTTATGACCTAGTTGAATGGACCTCAACCCTTTTTATCAATCACTTAACTAGTTTAACACAATATGGTATTAACCCCATCATTTTGCATTTACTTGTTTGATGTGAGGCTCTTAACACTCTTTTCTATTAGGCCATCTCACATCAAACAAATATAAAATTACAAAGCAGACATAGGATAAAGACTTTTAGATTATCCCTTTTATCAGTCTGAACTGATGTATAATACATGATTGACACAGATGTGTGTTGAAGGATCGGAGCAAGCCAATATTGTTCACCATGGCAAGGTTGGACCGTGTAAAGAACCTAAGCGGACTAGTTGAATGGTATGCTAAGAACCCAAAGCTAAGGGAACTCGCAAATCTTGTCGTGGTTGGTGGGGACAGGAGGAAGGAATCAGAAGATTTGGAGGAGCAAGCAGAGATGAAGAAGATGCATGAGCTTATCAAGACATATGACCTGAATGGACAGTTCAGATGGATCTCTTCACAGATGAACCGTGTGAGGAATGGAGAGCTATATAGATACATATGCGACACACGGGGGGCTTTTGTTCAGCCGGCTTTGTATGAGGCATTTGGGTTGACTGTGGTCGAGGCCATGACCTGTGGTTTGCCTACCTTTGCAACTAATCAAGGCGGTCCCGCTGAGATCATTGTTCACGGGAAGTCCGGTTTCCATATTGACCCGTATAACGGTGATCAAGCCGCTGAGCTGCTTGTCAGTTTCTTTGAGACGTGCAAGAAAGATCCTTCCTATTGGGAGACCATTTCAATTGGCGGCCTCAAACGTATCCAGGAGAAGTAAGTTTTGACACATGGACTTTTAAATATTTGATTTTATATAAGCTCAACAGGCAACAATACATAAGATAGGGGTAGGAGTGTAGGACTATTAACCCAATATGTTACATGTCGGTGTCTTATCATTTTGTTTTCGTGAAAATTGGAGTCCTGCTTCTAAAAGAAAATCATAGCTAAATTTTATTCTTTTATTAGTACTTTTCATATTGGACATACTCTTACTATTTGATATTTGGTCCGGACTATGTACTTTTTCATAGAGGCCCACACCATAATTATTGGTTATGAGTTGGGCTTACGGTCATATCATATTAAGGCTTGGTTTCTATGCTGACAACTTACTGAAATAACCCAATATTTTATGTGTTGTTTTGTTAGTTCATAACCAGAGGATGTTAGAGAAATTCATAGAGAGATGTTCTTTAACTCAAACTCATGTGAAGTGAAGTGTGATTAGGCTTAATTTAGTTAGTACAAGTTGATGATTATACAATGTTTGTTTTTTATTTAGGTACACATGGCAAATCTATTCAGACAGGTTGTTGACCCTGGCTGCTGTTTATGGATTCTGGAAGCATGTTTCTAAGCTTGATCGGCTTGAAACCCGTCGCTATCTCGAAATGTTTTATGCTCTCAAATACCGCAAGTTGGTGAGTTAATTCACCTGAATTATTTATTGTTTTTATTGTTGATGTTGTTGGAATATTAGTAGCAGTACATTTGTACGGACTGTGTAAACGTTCATTGATCCTCTTGATTGTTTGCGCTATGTTTTTGAATGCAGGCGGAGGCCGTACCCTTAGCTGATGAGTGAAAGACAAGCCCACATCTGTTTTGCTGCGGCTGAATAATTGAACGAGTCTGGTCTTCTGCATTTTAATAATTCCTGTATTTCCTAAAAAATGATGTTTTTTTGTGTATTTTAGTTTTAATTTTTATGTAGTGGTGGGTTCGGGGGATCAGACAAGAATAAAATTTAACAATTCAATGTTGATGGTATGAGATTAAAATTCATTCAACTTGTCCATGCTTGTACGAGTATTATCGAGTTACTTTTCCACTTTTACATGGCGAAGCAGAGTAGGTCCATCAAGATGGACCGAAACTCGCGGGTCGCCAATTTCAACCCATTTATTATTGATGGGTTAGAATTGTCATTTTGTGGTCCGATTAGTTCGCGGGTTTTGCGTGTCAACTCACTCGGGCTGCGAGTTGCCTTGCGGGCCAAAATGAATACATATAGTTTGACTATCATTAATTTCAGTGTTGTTCTTTTACTAGCAAAATTATTATAATTACAATTTTTTATTGGAAGGATTATAATTACAATTATATACTTATCATTTTATAAACATTGCAAAATAATAAATTGTTCTATGATAACCGTTCAAATAAAATCTATAATAAGTTAATAACTATTCAAATAAATTGTTCAAACTTATATTTTAAGTATTTTAAGTAAAGTTGAATATAATTTTTAGCAATTAGTAATCATGATATACAAATAATTACTCAAAAAGTTTAAGTAGATCTTTGCCTTTGTAAAATGAGTATTTTTAATATTCTTTGACTAAAGTTAACAAGTATTTTATGCTTAGTATTTTGATTCCCTATACGTAATACGTGTATACCTCCTACCAGTAAAAATATATACTATTACTAATATAAATAAATACTACTACACATTAGGTAATTATTACTGATGTATATTTTTAGACATTGGTCTGCGGGCCAGCCCATTTAACCCGTGGGTTAGGTGGGTTGGATTAAAGTTGTAAAAGTTCTGACCCTTCACTAAACATAGAGCATAACCCGTCATGGGTCAAGTTGGGTCGGATTAGCGCGTTTGACAGCTCTAAAGAAGAGATCCGAGCGATAGTAGACGCGACCCTATAGTCCGGTGAAATCTGGTCACCTACTAAGGGAATGTTTGCAATTGTTTCTGCTTTAAAAAATACTCCCTCTGTCCCATTTAAAGGTTCCCGTACACTATTCTCCGGTCAACGTGCATTGTTCTTAATCTTTTACTTTATATATCGAAAGTTTATGAAATTAAAATTATTTTTTTGTAGGTTTAGTAGTGGTTTTAATGTAGTTTCTGAATATGTAAATTTTATTTGCTAAAAATAATTCTATTAATGACAGGGATCAGTTAATTTTATGGTCAGTCAAACATCGTAAATCGTGTGGGAACCTTAAAGTGGGACAGAGGGAGTAACTTTTAAAGTGGTTTTGGAAAAAGTTTATAATAGTACAAGTTGGTAGTGTTTAAGAAAAATGTGATGTTGAAAAGTAAAAATAGGTAGTGTTTGGTAACATATGTGATTTTGTTTAATAGAAAAAGTAAAAAGCAGATTCTAACTTTTAGCTATTAAGTGATTAACTTAAGCAGAAGTTGTCACTTGAAAATACTCTTCAGTTTTTTTAGCCAAAAGCCGAAAATCTCTTTTTTTAAATCTTTTGCAAACTTACCCTAACACTTGTAATATGACACAAAATAGGACCGGGCAAACGGGTGCCAGAGTTTCAGGTCAGGGCAGGTAGTACAAGTTCATGTTGAGTAAGATGTTTTTAATTGGATTTAATTTTTCCAATATGGTCTGATCTACCCTGGTCTGATATTGAAAGTAAAAACATCTCATCTCCGGGTCCTATTATTGATGGAAATAGTGTGGGGTGGAGATGTTTTAAATTTTTAAGAGCTGGTTCTTAAATCAGATCATTAAAACAACAATTATGCTTGCCTGTTTTTTTTTTTTTTTTGTAGAATATGATTCATGAACTACTTTGGAGTTTGGAACCCGCCATCCACAATGGTGTAGCCAGTTTCATGAACTTTCAAATGGAAAATAGGTTTATTTAAAATCACTGTTTTTTCTTAAATACACAACCAAGATTCATTATTTGCTGGTAATGTAAAACTCCTTGCTTGGTCTTAGACTTTTAGTCATTTTAGTTTGTATGAAGGGAATTTCTTTACAAAGTAGTTTTTTTTAAAGGAAATCTTTACAAGTAGTTTAGTAAATTAAAGCTTTCTGTGTTGAAAGTCACTCAGGGAAGAAAGAAAAAGGTCTATGTTTGCGTTTATAATTATCTTGTGAATGTTTAAGAAAAAGTACTATAGTCTACCGATGATTCAATGGTTTTTTATTTTTTGTTCGTTACATACTACCTCCGTCCCCTTTTAAATGTCCCGGTGGAGGGTGACACGAGTTTTAAGAAAAGTGAGTTTGTGTGGTTGATATTAGTTGATAAAGTAAGAACAAAGTAAAAATAAAGTAAGAATAATTTTGAACCACACAAACTTTACCAAAGTAGGTACGAGACATTTAAATAGTGACATCCTAATATGGTAAAACGAGACATTTAAATGGGGATGGAGGGAGCACATATATTGATGATAAATTATAATTCTATAATGCGAATAAATAAAAGTGATTGAGAACAATTCTAAATAAGTTTGTTGATTTTTAATCAATGCTCTATTTCTTGACATTCTTTTCCATTTTCTACATAAATCAAAATCATATACTCCCTTCGATCCTAAATAAATTTCACACTTTCCTTTTTTTAGGTATGTCCAAAATAAAATTCACATTTCTATTTTTGGCAAGTTCTAAATGGTTGATTTTTTTAATAGAGAAATTCAAAGTTTTAAGATCATTTAGATATCGACAATTAAAACTTATCATACTCTTGTTAGAACGTGTATAAAATAAAATTGCTATCAATCCTTCACTTTCCTTCTCTAACCCTCATCCTTTTCCAAGCACAATTTGTTTTTAAAGTTTCAGTGTAGATAATGCATTAACATGTCCCCCCAATATCTTTTGGGACTAAGGCTTGGATGCTGTTGTTGTATATTACATTAACATGTGGATGTATAATGAAGGATCTTAAAAATAGATATCCCTTCAAAGACAACATGACACCTTAGGATGTTTTCTTTTGGACTGTTTTCAGTCCAGATCAGACTAGACCAGACCAGAACAGACCAGACCAGCAAATTGCAGTCCAAAAGAAAACATCCTTACCCCAAACCCAAACCTCTAAGTTTGTATTTGTTTGAGTACAAATAGAAAAGATGAGGTCAAGATTAAACATTACTATATTATATTATCATTTGAATTAATCATAACTAAAATTATTACTTCCGTTGTTGTTGTTGCTGTTGCTGTTGCTGTTGCTGTTGCTGTTGCTGTTGCTGTTGCTGGTGCTGGTGATGGTGGTGGTGGTGCTGTTGTTGTTGTTGTTGTTGTTGTTGTTGTTGTTGTTGTTGTTGTTGTTGTTGTTGTTGTTGTTGTTGTTGTTGTTGATATTGATGTTGATGGAACACATGTGACTCCACCTATAATCTTACATTTACATAGTTCTCACTATTAAGCGGTTGGGCCTATATACCACTTTGGATTGGATTTGAAAAGGTTGGGCTTAGTGTATAAAACTTAGTTGTCAAGTTTCCTTGGAATGGCATTGTCTAGGCAACCTTAGACAGTTAGGGGCTCTTTACTTTTTTTCTCATTAAGTCATGAATGGATTAAGATGTCTGTCTGCATTAAGTTGTCTGTCTGGATTAAGTGACAGTGGGATAACAGACTGTTTACTAAGTGTGCTGAATGAGAAGTCCGAAACACGTTAAGTGACCAAATAACCCTTCTGTCTGGAACAAGTGGTGAATGTATATTGTCTATTTACTTGCTCTGTTCTGAAACATAATTCCAGATGCCCAAGAATAATAATGCTACGAATTATTAAAATAAAATTTAAATCGCATTACATGATAAGAAAAAGTCATTTCTCTTAACGAGAACAACACTTTAAATTTAAAGGTTTTCCTACTAGTCTATTAGCGATTTCATTCCTCAAATCCGTCATATACTGTAAACTTTGTGTGCCCCATTGTGTTGCGTGCACTTCTTCTCCAAAATCCTCAGGTTCCTCTTGTGCTTCATTGTTGGTTATAGTGTCATCTCCCCATTCTTTGAAAAAGTCATTATCAATGTTGGATTTTCTAATAAAATTATGAACCGCAAAACAAGCAATCACCACATTCCTTTGTATCGCAAATGGATAAGGAGCCATCTGATCTAAGATTGGGAACCTTGCTTTCAAGACACCATAAGTACGTTCAATCACATTTCGGAGTTGTGCATGCAAATGATTGAATCTTTCTTCTTTAGTCAATGCACGACGACGTCGATAATCTGCTAACCAATATCTTGTGTTACGATATGGAGCTAAAAATCCACGAGTGTTTGCATATGCAACATCACATAGATAATATTTATCTGTAACAAATTCCATTGTTAATTTTTTTTAATTTTAATTAAATTCATTTAGTGAAAGAATAAATAATAATGATACGCACCTTGTGGAGGAAGTGGAAAGCCGGAATTAGGATTATATACAACTTGCGTTAGTACTCGAGAATCATGTGCTATTCCTTCCCAACCAGCCCAAACAAAAGTGAATATCATATTGAAATCACAAATTCCTAAAACGTTTTGATAACACCGACCCCCTCCTCTTCCTCTATAAATAGTTTGCTTTTCAGCGGGCACAATTGCGTGTACAAGAGTTCCATCTAGTGCTCCAATCGCTCCCTTCATAACATAATGAAAATATGTAATACATAATTTTCTAAATATAACAATGAATCAAATGTAAAATGAGAACATACCGGAAAAACCTCTCTCAAACGTTTTTGCCAGTTTGACAAATTTAGGACTGAATCGGCCGTTGTTGGTACTATCATTTCTTTTGCAAACTCCATCATTCCTTGTAGAACTTCATGAAAACATTTGTGAACAGTTCGTGTAGAGTGTTGGAATCTCCTTTTATTCACTCTAAACCACTGATTATTTCCGATGGTTGTAAAAAATATAGCCATCTTTTCCTAAACACTTATATGCTTACTATCACTCAACCAATTTCTTTGTCTAAAATGGTTGCATAATAGTACATTTCCGGCATGAGAGACACGCATTAATTCCACACATTTTGTATTAGAACCATCTAGTAACTCC